CGTGGTCGTCCTTCCTCCTCCTCCCTCGTCGTCGTCGTCGTCCGTCATCGGCGTCTCGTCGTCGTCGTCATCGTCTTCCCTCCTCCCTCGTCGTTGTCGTCGTCGCCGTCGCCGTCCTCCCTCCTTCTTCGTCGTTCGCGTCGTCGCCGTCCTCCCTCCTCCCTCGCCGTTGTCGTCGTTGTCGCCGTCGTCGTGCTCCCTCCTCGCTCGTCGTCGTCGTCTTCGTTGGCGACGTCGTCGTCGTCGTCGGCGTCGGCGTCGGCGTCGGCGTCGGCGTCGGCGTCATCGTCGTCGTCGGCGTCGTCGTCGCCGTCGTCGTCGTCGTCGACGTCATCGTCGTCGGCGTCGTCGACGTCGTCGTCGTCGTCGTCGGCGTCGTCGTCGTCGTCGCCGTCGTCGGCGCCGTCATCGTCGTCGCCGTTGTCGTCGTCGTCGGCGTCGGCGTCGTCGTCGTCGTCTTCGGTGTCGTCGTCGTCGTCGTCGTTGTCGTCGACGTCGAAGTCGTCGGAGACGTCGTCGGTGTCGTCATGGTCGTCGTCGGCATTGTCGTCGTCGTCGTCGTCGGCGCCGGTGTCGTTGCCAAGTGCCATTTGGAACGTACCGTCACGGTCTTAAGAGGTTTTGCAAACCAAGTTGCGGGTGGGTGGGTGGGATGTTTGCAAGAGCACGAGATGTGTCACATCATGGGTAAAAAAACAGTTTCGCCCTCAAAGACTTCACCCCGTATAGGTTTCGCCGCCCCTCTCCTGGGGCTCGAATCCTTTGTGGTGTACGTATGTTCCTACAGAGTGCCCCTCGACTGGGCCCGAATCCTTTCTGTGTTGTACGTAGGCTCCGGTCTATTTCCTTCGACTGGGGCTCGAATCTTTCGTGCGTAACGTATGCTCCTACATGTTGCCCTTCATCCCTGGGCTCGAATCCTTAGCGCTTTGAGCCCTCACCGCTCCCCATCGCCGCACAGTTGCTCTTGTGCCGTGCGAGCTAAAGGCAGGAGAATGTGCCTCGGGAGAGGCGCTGGCTCGACCTCATCAGGACAGAGATCTTGGTGGGGGGGTATCGGCCCCCACTTGCATGATGGGAGTGGTGGTATACACAGCCGTGACAAAAGTTTCTTCAATTTGCTATGATGAAGATCTCTCCCATCCCTCTCAATATTCCTAACATGACATGATGCTGGGGTCATTCGGCGGATTAGTTTCCGATCCCGGAGACGTGAATAAGTCTGTTACCCCAAAACGGGATCGGAATTACTCCGCGCCAAACCATACAAATTATCGAGCGGGATGCGATTGCGCGCGGAGTAGTCTTAGTAAAACTACTCCGAACTACTCCGCACGAGCGCGTCATTTCAAAAGGCAAATTGAAGGAAATTTTCGTCACGGCGATGTATTGATGGCATGTGGCATGTTGAACGGACCACGGTGCATGAGGGTAAACGTGTTGTTGCTGCGCTGTTGGGTCTCCTTTTCTAACGGATCAGTGTTTTTGATTCCCCCTGGCCGGTGCATGACATGTTTTGTCAGCTAAAGTGCTATCCCCAGGCCTCGTACCCGGCCACTTATCAGGAAAGTTTTGGTCCTCCCATTGTACCCCTGGCCCCGGGTTACACCAACGGCTCCTACACTTATTTCAAATTTGCGCTCTCGCGCAGGACTTTGTCAGAATGTATGCATGAATCGCGCTCTCGCGTGGTACGCCCTCGCAATGTATGCCACGCCGCGCCCCCAAGGCTCGGGAATCGCGCTCTCGCTCTGGATGTCCTCACGATTTACTTGGGAATCGCGCTGCCTCTCGAGATTTCGATACCCCCCCGCCCGACATGCCCGTCAGGGTCCGCCCGCCCGACCCACCCGTGTGGTTCTGCCGCTTGTGTTCCTGCTCCTGGTCCTCCTCATGCAGATCTCTCTCGTGCACCATCCTTCGCGCTCCCCCTTGTCTCTCCCCTCCTCCCGTCGCTCCCCTGTTTTAGGGGCTGCGCCAATTACACGCGGCAGTTTGGGAAGATGTATCTCTCAAGGTGGGTACGATCGACGTCGAAGAGGGCGGCCATCGCGGGTTTGAGATATACGTGTTGAATGGCACGCGAGCGTGCAAGAGCGAGCAGTCTTCAACTTACTGTTGTTGAACATTATTAATTCTAAAGAATAATTATTGTTGGGACCCCTGGTGCACGGCCCCCCTGCGCCGCCTAGGCCGCAGCTACATTTTCATCATTTTCGTGAGGAAGCCTCAGGTAATTCGATGTGATCAAGATCCGGTTGTTTTGTTCCCCCCCGCTTTCCCTTGCAAAAAACACTATAAAATGACATTTCTTGTTCTAATATAATCAAATTTCAAGAATCCCTTGCAAAAAATAAGGTAAAGTGGACATTCGCGCGCGCAAGACGAAATCCTTCCAAAAGCTTAGTGTTCGGAGCGATTTTAACATAAAAACATCAAAAAACCAATGGTTTTTCAACAAAAAATGTCAAAATCTCATCCCGCGCGCTCTTGCGGATTCGTAGGAAACCCAACACTTTTTAAACATTTCTGTCAAACGGGCTTTTGCGAGCAACTTTTTCGAACTTCTGCGACAACGGTTGCGCACCTGCCAGGGCCATCATCCCTGTCAAATAATACCATGCGGGACACATTCGTTTTTTCTTCCCGCGCGCACGCCGAAATCTCCAAAAACCATTCTGGGTTCTTAAGAATTTTACCACCGCGCATCATACAATCACACGAATCGCACCGTAGGTCCTCGAAAAACACCTGCACGACTTTTCAAAATTTCCACCCGCGCGCGCTGTCCTAACAACTTCTGTGGGTGTGTACTCCACGCCAGTGTAGTAGCCACGGTCGTCCGCAGGCCACGAAGTGAAGTGTCCGAACGTCATAGGGCGGGAAGCTGGGTGTGGGTGGTGGCGAAGAGTCGTGTGGATATTTGGTAGAGCTTGCACTGCCCCCCCACAAAGTGGGGGTATTGGCTGGCGTCGCATGAAAACCCTGGCACTGGTGAGAACACTGAGCGTTCGGGTAAAGTGATTGTTGTTGTTGTTGTTGTTGTTTTTGTTGGTGTTGCTGTTGCGTTGTTGTTGTCGTCGTCCTCGCCGGCGACCTGCTGGCGACCCACCCCGCGAACCGCTTGGCGACTTACCCGCGACCCACCCGCCACGCGTACACATGGCATCAACGAGACATTCTGCGCTTGCGGCGGGCTTGTTGTATTCTTTGTAATTACTCACTGCGTGGAGCTACCCATATGTGCATCTCATGCTTTTATGTCATGCCATAGTGAGCGTCTGTTTATGCGCGTTTGACTATAATAGCGCGTCCACGTGGGCGACAGGGCCGACGAAGACGAGTGAATCCGAATGCGAGCGAGTGAGTATGAGTCGGAGTGAGTTTTGAGTATGATTGAATATGAGCCTCCCATTCATTCTCCCTCCTCAGCTGCCAGGCCGTGCTGAAACCAGCGCCCCGCCTGAGACATCCTCAAATCTGTTCTGAAAGCCAAGGATGTTGGACATGAAAACAAGCAAACCGCCTGAGACATCCCCACAATCTGGCCGCGAATGGGCCTAAACATCTGAGTAAATCTGAGTATGAGTAGGTCTGAGTAGGAGTAGGTCTGAGTATGAGTAAGTCTGTGTATGAGTAAGTCTGTATATGAGTACGTCTGGGTATGTTTAAGTATGAGTCTGAGTAAGTCTGTGTATGAGTAAGTATGTGTATGCGTACGTCTGGGTATGAGTAAGTCTGAGTATGAGTAGGTCTGAGTATGAGTATGTCTGAGTATGAGCAAGTCTGTGTATGAGTAAGTCTGGGTATGAGTACGCCTGAGCATGAGTAAGTCCGAGAGGAGGGGAGGAGGAGGAGAGGGAGTAGGAGGCGTCCAAGTAAAAACAATAACCCCATCTTAGGATACGGGGATTTTGTTTCGGAGCTTGTGGCGGGCTTCTTCAGAGCCTCGCAGATTGCAGACGACCCAGCCGCCCCCTCACTCGTATCCTCAATTGCGAGGTGCTACGTACTCTTTGTTTGTGCGTTGTGATAGCAGCATAATGAGAAGTAGCGTCCAAGTCGTGCTGCTCAGGGGGTCCCTTGAACAGCACGAAGGGGTCGGGACAATGGGTGGGCTCTGGCCGCTAGGAAGGGGAACCCTGTCATGCGGCTTTTCAGTGTGTGTGCGTGTGTGTGTGTGTGTGTGTGTGTGTGTGTGTGTGTGTGTGTGTGTGTGTGTGTGTGTGTGTGTGTGTGTGTGTGTGTGTGTGTGTGTGTGTGTGTGTGTGTGTGTGTGTGTGTGTGTGTGTGTGTGTGTGTGTGTGTGTGTGTGTGTGTGTGTGTGTGTGTGTGTGTGTGTGTGTGTGTGTGTGTGTGTGTGTGTGTGTGTGTGTGTGTGTGTGTGTGTGTGTGTGTGTGTGTGTGTGTGTGTGTGTGTGTGTGTGTGTGTGTGTGTGTGTGTGTGTGTGTGTGTGTGTGTGTGTGTGTGTGTGTGTGTGTGTGTGTGTGTGTGTGTGTGTGTGTGTGTGTGTGTGTGTGTGTGTGTGTGTGTGTTGTGTGTGTGTGTGTGTGTGTGTGTGTGTGTGTGTGTGTGTGTGTGTGTGTGTGTGTGTGTGTGTGTGTGTGTGTGTGTGTGTGTGTGTGTGTGTGTGTGTGTGTGTGTGTGTGTGTGTGTGTGTGTGTGTGTGTGTGTGTGTGTGTGTGTGTGTGTGTGTGTGTGTGTGTGTGTGTGTGTGTGTGTGTGTGTGTGTGTGTGTGTGTGTGTGTGTGTGTGTGTGTGTGTGTGTGTTTGTGCGTGTGTGTGTGTGTGCCTCGAGTCCGTTGTTTTCTGTGTCAAGCCGTGCTCCGCCCGTCCACATGTTGGGCGACGAACTCGGTGTAGCCTGCGCCGTGTACGCGGGCGACGGCGCCCGTCGCCGAGCACGCTGGCGCGGCACAATCCGGCCACTGCGGGCGGCCGACAGACCTGACGCAGAGGCCATCGGGGGCTACAACGACGCTGCTGGCTCGCTCCAGGGATGGCTGGACGGCGATGGCCTGACGTGCTGGACGGCGGCGGCGGAGGACGACGACGCGCAGGGGCTGCTCGGGTTCGAGGTGCTGTCGCTCTTCGACGGCGGCAGGACGGGCTGGCTCGAGGCACTGCGCGTGAGGCCGGATCGGCGAGGGCAGGGAGTCGCTTCGGCCTTGCAGTCGTGGCTCGTGGAGCTCGCGCGCGGGACGCTCGGCCTGGCTCGGGTGCGCTACACCACCGACACCGCCAACGTCGCGAGCCGCCGCCTCGCAGCTCGCTGCGGCCTGGTGCCCGTCGCCGCCTGGGCCGTCGTCGCGCCGCGCCGCAGGACGAAGCTGCCCGAGCTCGCGGGGCGCCTGCGCGGCGCGGCGCGGCGCCTGGCGGTCAGGAGCCCCGGCTCGGGCGGCGGAGGCGTGGACCTCCGGCGGGGCGCGGCGCCGCAGGAGCTGCTGGAGTATGGCGCCAGGTCGGGCTGCCGCCACCTGCTGCAGCAGGCCTGGAAGGCCCGGGACTTCGGCCCGGAGGCCCTGGCGGCCCTGCTGCCCACCCACGAGGCGCCCCTGGTGGCCCTCGGGGCGGCCGGGCAGGTGGAGTCCTTCTCGCTGGCGTTCCGGAGCTGCAGCCCCGGCGGCGTCACCGTGTACGCCACGGTCTACGCGGCCAGCGTGGCGGACATCCTCGCGCACCTGGCCGCGCAGGTCGACTCTGCGGGCGCCTCGGGCGCCGGGGCCGTGGTGCTCATGTGCCCCCTGGCCGCCGAGCCAGAGCTGCGCCGCCTCGGGCTCGTGGACCTGTGTGCGGCAGCAGCGCCGGGCACGGAGCCGGTCGCGCGGCGCTGCGTGCTGCTGGAGCGCGAGTTCCCAGAGAACGCGCAGCGCGCGGAGCAGAGCAGCACAGAGAGGGGTGTGCGCAGTGGGCATGTCGATAAAAAGAGATTGGCTTGCCAGCAGGCTCCCCGCGGAACATCTTGACCCACGGTGGCCCCTGGGGTCCACGGAAGCTCTGGGGCACCTTAATGGCCCTCGAGGATCGACGCCGAGACCCTGTGCCCCGAAATTGTTGCTTTATAGCAAGATTTCTTATCGCACGCGTGTCGTGTCGCGCCCGCCGCTGCGCGCGAGAGCTCCCGCGCTGCCCCCGCCCCCCCTGCGCGCCTCCCTGACTGTGGGAACGTGCGGCTCGAGTCTGCCGGAGCTCGGGCTTGCTGCCGGTCCCGGCGTGGCTCTTGGCAGTCGAGTTTTCGTGAGGTGTCTGCAGTGAGCGGGAGTTCGTGTCAGATTTCAGACTGGGTCCCGCCACAGTTCTGAAGCCCCCCCGCCCTGGCCGCTGCTGGTTTGCTCCGCCTGGGCGCCCCCGCTGCCAGACCTCCAACGCGTCGAAAAAGATATCAAGGCGGAGCGTCTTCGCAATTTCCGGTGCCTGAGGGTCGCTGTCGGGGATGCGGGCTGTCCAGACGCAGTCCAGAATTCGGTATCGTTCTGCCTATCGTTGGCACCACGGGACCAGGGCACCTTAGCGCCACAAGTCCACCCCCCTCTTGGGGATACATGCCGCGGAGCCCGAAGGAGACCGCATTTATAAAGTTACACCCATATGGGGGGGAAGGCCAGCCACCAGGATTAAGTCTTTCTTACAGAGTGGATGGCGAAGGGTCTGACGGTATGGACGTATCAGGGTCCATTTTGGTCTGATCCGATTCGATATCGATTTTGGCCGGCACGATCATATTCAATCGTGATAGTTCGACGGTCCGATGCGGTCAGGTGCTCGCACAGCAGAGGTGCTTGTCCAGGCGGAGCCGAGCCGATTCGATGTTGGTTCCAAGCCGATGCAGCCCGAAGCAATATTCATGTCGGTCCGACCCGGCTTGCCGATTCAAACTGGCAGATCTCGGGCGTGAGAGACAGAAACGGTATGTCTGAGGTTTGGGGGCCAGTCAGCTCCACCGAGGCGGGTATCCAGTAATGGGTATTCGCGCGGCGCGCAGGAAGGTGCAGGAAAGCGTAAGTGAGTGCAATGATTGCGCGGGATGGTGCAGGAATCGGCTCGAGGCTTGCGTGTATAATGGATGCTGCGCCGAACACAAGTGGGCCATCGCGCCACGGGATGCCACGGGGGAAGCGGCGGTCATCGAGTAGGGTCGCGGGCGCGGGTAGCGCAGGCCCTCCCCGGGAAGGATTTTGGATACAAGCCGCGGGTGGGATCTTTTGGGGGCGGGATGCCCGTGCCCACCGTGTCCGGGTGCTGAGCAGAGGACGTCCCAGATGGTGGACGCGCATGGGCGCCTTCGCGTTGTAGAGTTGGACTCCGCCGGTGGCCACTCCTGGTTGGGCCCCAGCAGCGAAACCTGTTCTGGCGACCTTTGTGAGATTATCCGTGAAAAGGGAGAAGTATACAGCAGAATCGTGGGCATCTTGGGGCTTGATCCACGGGTGAATCTGGCGACAGCCGGCTTAGCGGTCCCGTATTTTCTTTGAGCAGTTCTCGCGAAGACCTTCCCAGAGTTGCCTCCTAGCCCAGGTTGTTCCGACCCACGGAGACGCCATTGGCCTTCACAGCGCCTCTCACGAGGACCAGGGGACCCCAGGCGCTCCAAAACAGCAAGAGCAGCTGAGGACACCTCGGATCAATCTCTGCACGGGACTTGAGTTCTGGCATCAACGCTGCCAGTATGAAACGCCCTCCTTGCGCGGTCAGGATTGGTTTTACTACGCAAGAGCCGTGCCAGATTCTCAAGTGCCCAGTCAGCTTCCAAGCGGCTACGCACTATCAGGTAAATAGCTAAGTAGTCCTGGCAAGGTCAACCAAACGTGGTCCTGACACTTATTTCCTCGTGCCCGTTTCAGCATGACCCGCTCAATGTTTGTAAGGCTGGCGCAGTGTGGATCGGAGATGCGGGCACGCGTATTTAGCTTGACCGCGGGTCGACCTGTTATGGGAGCGGATATTGGTGCAAATTTGACGTGGGAGGTGCTGTGTCAACTGGGGGGCGGGTCCACTCTGGCTTGCACTTCCAATTGTTATTAGACTAATCGGGTGGTGGCTCGAAAAAAGCAATCCGCGTGGACGTTCCTTGCAAAGCAGGTTCTTTGCAAAGCAGGTTCGACACCAGGTTCGAACACATGCAGACCGGTACGAGCCAAGGGACACGAACGTTTCGAGAGGAAATTCTTTGAGCACGCGGCTTGGAACCAGGTTCGCAACAGGTTCGAACCAAAAGACTTTCATTGTTGTAAGCCCGGTTCGAACACACAACGAACATAGAGCGTTTCCGCAGGCGCATCAGGAACCCGCTGGGTCAACCGTGCCTTCGCCTTCGCCCACCCGCCCCGCCCACCCGCCCCCGCCCCAGGAGAGTGACCATCGCGGTGCAAGAGCGGGCGAGGCGCTCGCAGATCGGGACCCTGGGGCTCGAGTCCTCGCTCTAGCGGCCCCGCGGCCTGCGCGCGCGGCGGCTCCGCCTGCGGGCGTGGCGAGCGGCTGCCGGCCGACCGGCACCACGTTTTTTCCCGCCCGGTGGGGGCGCCTGGCCTCGCCGCGCGAGAGCAGCGCGGGCCCGCGGGCATTCCGCCCGCGGCGCTCTGCGGTTGTGCCGAGCTGCAAGGCGCACGGACTTCGTCTCCCGACGCCGGCCCGGGCCCCCCCCCCCCCCCCCCGTGCACGCCGCGAGGAGCAGGTGCCTCTGCGGGCCAGGGGAGGGAGGAGGGCGAGGGCGGAGGAGAGGGAGGGAGGGAGGGAGGGCGGGAGGGAGGAAGGGAGGGAGGGGGGGCGATGGAGGGAGGGAAAGAGGGAGGGGGGGGGGGGAGGGGGGGAGGGAGGGAGGGGAGGGGAGGGAGGGAGGGAGGGAGGGAGGGAGGGGGAGGGAGGGGAGGGAGGGAGGGGGAGGAGGAGGAGGAGGAGGAGAGGAGGAGGAGGAGGGAGGAGGAGGAGGAGGAGGAGGAGGAGGAGGAGGAGGAGGGAGGAGAGGAATCTCCAGGAATCTCCATGATGCCACAATGTGGTCCCCCTCCTCTAATCCGACGAGCCCGAGTCGGAAGCAGGCGGGGCGGCGCGCCTGCTCGTCGGGCTCCGGGAAGAGGAGGAGGAGGAGGAGGAGGAGGAGGAGGAGGAGGAGGAGGAGGAGGAGGAGGAGGAGGGGGAGGAGGAGGAGGACAGGGAGCAGGAGGTTCCCTCCCTCTCGGCGTCCCCAGGGGCCCTGCCCCCCGCCCCTGGGGCGGGGATCGTTCACTACGCATACCATCAGGAGGGGAAAAACACAGACACAAGTCATCGTCGACTCCCAGAAAAATATGGGAAAATATGGAAAGTGGGGGGAAGACAAAAAGCCCAGAAAATATATGAAAATATTGGGAATCCTTGTTGGTTTGTGAGCATTTACTTGTGTGTCCCAGGGCCCCTTCATACCACCCTGCGGGTCCTCAGGAGGCTAGGGATGAAGAAGCAAAGAGGCCATAGATGTAGCCCCCCACCAGCGGCGCCTCCGGCGGCGACCCTGGCGCGCTCCGCGCGCCGGGGCCCTGGCGCAGATCCAAGAAATCCGCGCAGAGCGCCAAAAGTTTATGTATGTTTTCGCGTTTGTGCATGGAGCCGCCAAGGGTGCTTTTACGGCTAGATTTGTTCACCACACCACTGCCCTACAAGAAGACATGCACATATGGCTCATATGGCTAGACGCTCATTTAAATATCCCAAATGCAATACTACCCTTTTAAACAGGATGCACATATGGAGAGCTCCACGCAGTGAGTAATCTGGTGGGGGGACGAAGAAGCCGGTCACCGTCCGCCCACTGGGGAGGGAGGAGGGGCGGTCAACGGCTCTTGACCCGCCCTAGCCACAGCGGGGTCATTCCTCTCGCCCGCCCACGCAGCTTCGCCTCGCCCGCACGCACGACAGGAACCCGAAATCCAGGTTGCTTTCCTGGTGGGGGACTCCGTTGATTTCCTGGTGGGGGACTCCGATCCATAACCTCAGGGGAGGAACAGGTACCCATACCTCTACCCTTTCTTTTTTTTCGCCTTTTTGGGCCTCCTGGGAGGCCCTCGCCGCCTCCGCTGGAGTCGCTTCGAAATTCTTGTCAGAAGGCGCCCTGGAAGATATCCGGGAGTAGCGGTATCGTTTTCCCATCACCACCGCCTGTGGACTCGATCTTCGGGGAGCTTGGCAAACGGTGGACTTGGATACGTTCGGGCCCTAGGGGTAGTGCTTGAGTGGATTGACTCTGGGGCGAGTTTCACTTGTGACGTACTTCGAGAGCTCTTCGCGCTGTCATTCCCCTCAGATTCCTTTAGTCTTCTTCTAATATCGCGCTGGGGAGAGAATCGGGCTCTGTGGACGGACGTACATCGGAGCTACGAAAGTGTTGCCCCGCTTCGTATTTCCACAAAGACAAGTCTCAGGCGGGAGCGACATTGCGACTTCGAGCCGAAGAAGTGCCGACCTCTATTGCCGAGGGAGTCCTGGGCGGGAGCGACATTTCGAAATCGAATCCGAAAGGTTCCGGATTTTGTTCCAGCGTTGTAGCATGCCTCCGCCGGGCCCCGCCGCCTAACGAGAGGCGCTGCATGTTGGCCGAACTTGCGTGGTGTCGAAGTGGATCATCAAACCGCTCATGGTTGCCCTGCACATTGCGCCGCACACGTGTCACTCGGAAGTGTCTCGCCCGCCTCTCACTCCTCGGGCACTGCAAATCGTTCTACATGAAGGATGCGACGACGCTGACGCGCCTCAAAGTCTGCGACGACGATGGCGATGCATCGGTCGGCGAGCGAGCGCGTCATTTTACAGACCGACCAGTTGCAGGGCAACCGTGAACGGTTTGACATTCCCAGTGTAATTTCAAACCGCGCACGGTTGCCTTGCACATTGCGCTGCGCACGTGTCACTCGGAAGTGATTCGCCCGCCTCTCACTCCCCGGGCAGTGCGAATCGATCTGCATGAACGATGCGACGACACCGACTTGCCCCAAAGTTTGCGACGAGGACGGCGATACATCGGTCTGCGAGCGAGCGCGCCACTTTACAGACGGGCCAAATGCAGGGAAACCATCAGCGGCATGGATTTCCATTGGATTTTCAACCCGAGCATGGTTGCCCTGCACATTGCGCTGCGCACGTGTCACTCGGAAATGATTCGCCCGCCTCTCACTCCTCCTCGGGCAGTGCGAATCGTTCTGCATGAAGAGTGCGACGACGCCGACGCGCCTCAAAATGCGTGACGAGGACTGCGATACATCGGACGGCGAGCGAGCGCGCCATTTTCCCGACCTAACAGGTGCAGGGCCACGATGGGCGGTTTGAAATTATAAATTGAATCTCGAACCGCGCACATGCCACTGCACACTGCGGTGCGCACGTGCCACTGGGAAGTGACCGCCCGACTCACACTTCGGGCAGTGCGAATCGATTCACATGAAGGGTGCGACGACGCCGACGCGCCTCAAAGTGCGCGACGACGATTGCCATGCATCCGTCGGCGAGCGAAGGCGCCGCTTTCCAGACCGACCAGGTGCAGGGCAGCCATCAGCGGTTTGACTTGCCGTTCCCCCGCATTTTTGTTTTATTGATCTATAGGGGGTGCGGAACCCCCCGCGCCCTCCCCGAAAAAGGATATCCCCGGCGTCCGGGGCTCCTGGACGCCCCTTCAGTGGGTCCCGCAAGATTTCGCCAAGCAGTGGCGAAGCGTCCTGGCTCGCCTATAGCCCTACCAAACAATGCTCTAAGAACCCTTTGTGGTTTCCACGAAATGTTCTTAGAACATGTCTGGCTGATATTGTTTTGTTTTAACACATCGGGTTTATGTTCTAAGAACATTGTTTTCGTTCTTAGAACATTGCTGGGTTCTAAGAGCATTTCGTGGTATGACTATAGGAATGCCGGGACGGTCGGTCCCTGCTCAGAAGTTCTTGCCGAGCTGTGCACACGGTCCCTGCTCAAAAGTTTTCCCCAGAGACCCCCAAGACGGTCGAAGATTTTCTCCAGCGACCTGGGACCCCCACCGGGCGCCCGAAGACAGCCCAACTATCACCCCCTAGAGGTTTTCGAAACGCAGAAGACATCAATTGCCCGTTGGTGTTTGTATGAGTTTGGGGTATTCGGGAATTCGGTTTTCGGGGCGTCCGAGAAAGTCCGAAAGGTGCAGAAAATAGTTTCAAAACGGCCGAAAAAGGCTTCCTGATTCTCCAACGGAGCCCCGAGAGGGCCTAGAAATTGCCCACATAGCGCCCTACGACGGCTCAGAACTGCCCCAAGACGCCTTCCGGAAGCATTCAAACCGTGACCCGAGATCATGGTTTGCGGCATGGTGGCCCGAGGAAACCCCAGAAGGTGCCAAAAGGCGCCAGGGGCGTTTCCAGAAGCGCCCAAGGAGCCCCTGAAGAGCTTTCTTGAGGTCCTCCAGACGTTTGCTTCGGAGGAGCCTCCGCAAACGAATCTGACGAGGACGGGGAAAGGTTCGCGGGGCAATTAGGACGCGAACGAGGAACAGGGCGAGGAGGGGGACACCTAAGGGAAGGAAGAGGAAAACTAATATGGTAACGGTGTTGGCGAAAACTACAATTGAGAGCGATCGTTGATCAATGTTTTGATTGATGTACCTCTCCTCTCTTTCTCTCCTTCATGATGCCTGCATGTTAGACGTGAAGGACCCAGGTGCATGGCGCGAAGCGCCAATGCAGCCTTGTGTATTATATATATATATATAGATAGACCTATGCGTTTCTCTCCCTCTCTCTGTCTGCCTGCCTGTATATATATATATATATATATATATATATATATATATATATGCGGCGTCCAGGTCCCCGGGCTCAGGGGGACCTAGATATACACATCGATAGGCGTACACATAAACATATAAAAGATGTTAAGGCTCGCTGCGCTTCGCCTACTAAACTTGATCTTCGCACCTACATATTTGATTGACTCTGCGGTTCGCATATTGATGTAGCCGCAGCGCTGCTACGACCCATTCCCGAACCTGACGTTGGAGAGGCTAACCTGGCGCAGCCCCGATTGGCAACAGTTGATGCGTTCCGTCCAAACTGGGCGCCAGGTTTGGCATTCGGCCAGAACGAAGGGACGGCAGCTGCGGTCGCCAGTTGTCTCGCGCCCCAGGTGGCGCTCGCAAAAGACGGATGCACCTGAGGCTCAAACGAGAGTATTAGTCTCACACTCGGATGCGGCCGACGCTGGGACGGTAGCACAAATCTTGGAATTGGATGTGGCTGGTGCTTGGGCAGAGCACCAACCTCCCATGAGGGATGTGGGAACCGTGCGAGTGGAGAGGCATCACAATTGTCAATCAGGGGCATGGCTGGCGCTGCGGAATATCATTGCCGCGTTCCATGAAGGGTTCGGCCAGCGCGCAGACGGCAGCATGACTCCCAGACAGGGGTATGGCCAGCGCTCGGGCGAGAGCGCCAATGCCATCCAGGAATGGGGCTTGTGCTCGACTGGCAGCACCATCTGCAATGAGGGCTGTGGCCTCTTGAAGCCTTGGGATGCTTCCTGGGAGTCTTTTGGAAGCATCCTGGGAACTCTGGGGGGCTCTTGGGCTTTCTTGGGGGTCCGTTTGGGGCTCTTTTGGGCCGGCTGTTGGCCCTCTTGGGCTGTCCTGGGGCCTTCTTGGGGCATCCTGGGGAGCTGGGGCCGTCTTGGAGCCCTCTGGGGGTCCTCTACGGCCTTCCAGGGGGCCTCCTATGGCCCTCTTGGAGCTCCCTCTGGGGCCCATGTGGGACCCTCTGGGGCCCCTCTTGGCCGTCTTGGGGTCAGAGCCGGAGAAACGAATATGCAAAAAATGTTTGCTTACCGCAAAGAATTTGATGATTGTTGCCTCTTGGGGGCCCTCTGGGGGGCCTCTTGGGCCGGTTTCAAGCCACTCTGGTCGTGAAGAAGCCGTTTTCGGCTCTCCAGGAGCGCTCTCGGGCCGTCCAGGGGACGTTTCGGGCCTTTGTGAGGCCGTTGGGGGAGCCCGATGTAAGCCCTGGAGCGCTCTCGTCGTGTTTCCCTGGGCCGTCTGAGCGCGGTGTGGAGCTCTCTTGGGGGCCTCTTCGGCCATCAGTGGGGGCCGGAGGCGTACACCTCCCCCCCCAGTGGAGGGTGACGGTGACATGCCGTTTTTCTTTTAATTTCACAGGTCGAACGGGTACACACACATATATATATATATATATATATGTATACATACACATATATATATATATATATATGTATATATGTATATATAACAGACATGGAAATGTATACATGTATACATATATCTGGATATAGATATCGTCACCGCCTGCGAAGGTCCCAAATAATGATACACATGCGGTGGTTATGGATAGCTCCCCGCCTCGCAGCTTCTGCGTTGCAGCCACCGTCGGACGGCCTGAGAGAAGGAGCTCGGAGAAGGGGAGAGGTTGTGAAAGCTGGCGCGCGCAGCTGGTTTCGAGGCTTTTCCAGCCGCGCTCGTTCCTCGATGTCTGGCCGCTCCCGGTGCCCCGGCGGCGCCTTGAAAAACCGACCGATTCATAAAAAAACGTTGATCTTGCCCAGACACCACGACATGCCTTCTCCGAGTGGAGACAGGGGGAGGAAGATGGGCAGCCATGCGCCCCGATATGGGATGCGGCACAGGGGCAGCCACGCACTCCGACATGGACAGCCAGGCACATCGAACGAGAGACCAGCCTGCCATCAGGTGCCACACGGAAAAGCACAACGAGCATTACATCTGATTGCCCAGCAACCCTGGGGGGAGCTTTACGAAGTTAAACCCTGAGGAGGTCAGTGCGCTTATAGCATTACTTCTCAGCAGGAGGAGGAGGAGGGCGAAGAATCCATGTTCTTCGAATGTGTGTTTTTTGTTGCTTCGGCGCCCGGGGGCCTCAGGGGGCATCCAGGGGCTTCCAGGGACAGCATCTGGACAGGAGCCCTCCGCTGACCTATGCAGGCCCCCTCTGAAGCTCCCAGAGGCCTCGCCTGGATCTGTCGCGGCATGATTTTCTCTGTGGTCTGTGGCATCGCGCGGGGCGGTCGCCCACGCCTGCAGGAGGGGTCACTCGTCAATTTTCCCGAGCGCCTTGTCCAATTGAAGAGGCAGATTTTGCGACGGTTCGCGTGAGGTTCGGGATAATAGTTTCCGGATTGTATGATGCGAGGTGTTCGGGATAATAGTTTTACCAGGTTGTTCAGCCCACCCACACAGAATTGGTATGGACACGATGGGTGAGGGCGAATCAATAGTCTTCCGTTCTGTTCGGAACAAGTGGTGCACCATTCTACTCATGCCTCCATGAATGGCCCGTACATTATTGTCTAACGAGTTTGACGCATGGATTTGGCAGGGCAGCGGGCCGCATAAGGCTCGCCGATGACCCGCTAAATCAGTTTGACCTGCGAATGGTGGATGAATTGCCCACCGTTGGCTCACGCCATCGGTTCCCGCGCGTAGTCACTAATGCGAACTCAGCTTCGCGCGCTCATGTTGGCTACAGCGTGCCACTAGCCATGATCAAGGTTCCAGCGTGGCAGGGCAGTTCTCTTACAGCGAATCCAGAGTTGAAGGAATCGCAGGAAGTGCAAGTCCAAGCGAAATTGAGAGCATTCGGAAGCATGAGGGAAAGTATAGTAGTCTTATGGAACATGAGTTCAGGATCGCCGTCGAGAGAAAATCCTCGGCGCGTAGTAGTATCATGCGTATGGCACAGGAGGCCATCCACAATTTTGCCGCGTGTGTGAAGAATTCGTGCTCCCAGACCTCCGACAGCATGATTTTGGGACCCATGGGTTCAAAGGGCTGGGCTCTCGACACCTTCCCCAGCCCCGTTCTTTCATCCCTGGTGGTGGTGTGACGCCCACGGCCTTTGGGCACCGCCAGCGAACGATTCCGTGCGCGATTCTCCTCAGACGCCCGGGTTCCGGCTCTCAGCCTGGCGCGACCCAGGGTGGGCCAGCGGATCGAGGGAGCATAAGTACATGCCTCGCGCGGGAGCGCGGGCCAAGCATAAGCCTCTCGCAACGTTGCCCAGTGAGGAGGGACTGGAGGAGAAGGGCGAGGAGAGGCGCGGGGAGTTCGTAGCCATTCGTGTGGGCTCAAGCGCCGAGGCTGGCGTGCGATGGCTCAAGACGGCCAACTTCGCCTTCCTTCCTAAAATGTCTCGGCCAGGGCAGGGGCAGCTGAACGACTCGACTCCCGGATCAATGCGAACTCGGGCCAGTGCTGCTCCGCCTGGCTTCAACGACCCAGGCAAAGCAGAAGGCAGCCTTGCGGCAAGCGCTGTCCAGCACGGAAACGAAACGCTAGAACAGCAGTATTGGGCCGAGTGGACTGCCCCCCAGCCATGCCCACTGCCCACTGCAGGAAGAGCTTTCGACTTGTGGCCGACTCTGCATCCAGGCGGGGGAGGTGCAGAGGTCTCGCAGGCCCAGGACCATGCGTAAGCCTTCTCACAGCGCCTGGATCTCTCCCAGAGCGCCCCTGAGCCCTCTGGAACAGCGGCGGCGCCCGGCACACGCCGGTCGTCGAAAGTAGGACTCCCAGCGCTCAATCGATTTCAAGCGCCTCCCTATTTCAAGAATTGATCTGCTTTTGCTGCGTTTTGCTATTCTTTGGGTGGGCCTGAACCTAATCCCCTTATCCCCTTTCCTGCTTCATCTTATCATTTACTTCTTCGGACCGGCGTGCACATCTTCCAGACCCGCTTGCTCCCAGATGGATCCTCGTCCAGATCTGCCCTCGAGAGGAGGGGCGGGCGGCAGCAGGGGGGCTCCAGGCTGCGCTGGGGGGGGGGGCTGGCGCCGACCAGGCCTGCTGGCAGACGCAGCCCGCCCTGACGACGAGCAATTGGCCTCGAGAGCTGGTTCGGGCGGCAGCGGCAGCGTGGCGGTCCGCGGGTAGGCTCTTCTTTCAGGAGGGAAAAAACACACAGACACAATTAATCGACGATCCCCAGTAAAATATGGGAAAATATAGGAAGTGGGGGGGGGAAGACAAAAACCCAGAAAATATATGAAAATATGGGGAATCCTGTTATTTGTGTATTAATTTGTGTGTCCCAGGGCCCCTTCATTCTTGGCACGATTCAGGGGCAACGATAGGGGGGACGCATCAACCCCCAATCGCCTGTTGATCGCGGATGGCGGCCCGATAGCCCCAACCTGCGCAGGAACGTGCGGGTTCAGTGTCAGGGGCCCATCGCCGATCTATCGGGGATGTGTTGCCGATTCCGGGTCGATGTTTCCCCCCCTTGTGCCTATCCCTTCCTATCGCTGCCCCTCAACTATTGCCGTGTTTTCTACCAGGCCACAGGACAGAGAACATATGGCAGACAGCTCGCATTGAGAGCAGCAGTAGCAAGCCATCAGTTCTTCGACTGAGCCTGGGAAAAATCGGCCGCGCCGCCGCTCGTCTCAGAGGCGGTGGACCCTTCTGAACGTATGGCGGCTCCTGGCTTTCACGCTTGCTGCGCACTCCGTTCCATAACCGTCCGTGGAGGCGCCCGCGGCAGGGCGTCGAGACGGCAGCGACGTGATGGCAACCCCCGCGCAGCCCCCCCCGCGGCACCGCGGCGTCGAGCTGGGGGCGGGAGGCCTGCGGGCAGGCCCGGCCTCCTGCGGGGTGGTCCGAGCGCGCAGCCCGGGCCAGGCAGAGGGCCGAGAGGCGAGGCGCGGGCCCCGGCGGGCGGCAGGAGGTGCGGCGCTCGCCCGGGGCGAGAGAGCCAAGCGTGAATGAGCACTGGGCGCCGGCACCTCGGCGCCCGGCTGGTCTTCCATCGGGGCGCCCAGAGCCAGACGTGGGAAGGCGAGAGCGAGGCAGAGGAAGAGGAGGGGGAGGAGGACAGGGCAGAGGGTGCGGAGAGGAAAATGGATGGAACGGACCAGGAGGAGGAGGAGGAGGAGGAGGAGGAGGAGGAGGAGGAGGAGGTCGGGCGGGGGAAAGGAGGACGAGGACGAGGAAGAGGGCGCGACCAGAGTAAACACAGGATGCACTGACGATGCTGGAATACACCATCCCGCCCCAAGTCCCTCACCATTGGTTCTTACAAGTAGTTGTCTCCACTCCCCCATTGAAAAGCGAGCGGCTCCTGGGCCTTGCACTCAGTCGTTTCCACTGCGGGAAGCCTATGCCCCATCGAAAAGCGATCGGCTCCTGGGTCTTTCATCCAGCCCCTTTGCTGTGAAGGACGTGCGCCCACCCTGACAGCTGCCCGAAGTGCAGGATCGGGCCATTGAGATTCCGACACTCTCCAGCGGAAGCCCCTTGAGGCAGGGTGCCGCCCTCCAGCCGTGCAGTTGCCGGACAGGCTGCAGACGAGTGTGGGCGGCGCCAGTGCCGGAGCCCCGCGTTGCCAGAGCACTGCCTGGTGTTTTGTGAGACGGGTCTGCACGGCGCCGGTGCACGGAGCCCAAGCGCACGCAAAAGGGAGCAGTGCTCCATCCGTATGGCTGGTGGACCTGCCCCGGGCGAGCGCGGGCGGCTCGAAGGCGGGAGAGCTTCGTTTTTAAAAGATACCGTCCTCCAGATGCTCCTGCTGGGAAGGTCGAGCTGCAGGCGCAGAAGCGAGGACGAGGTCTCGAGCGACACGCCAGTGCGACGGGGTGGAGCTATCTGCCAGGAGAACGCACGGAGGATGGGCGGGAAGGGGGAGAAAGACGAGGACGGGGAGGGGAGGAGGACGTGGATGAGGAGAAAGGAGGGTGGGAGGAGGAGGAGGAGGAGGAGGAGGAGGAGGAGGCGGAGCAGGAGGAGGAGGAGGGAGAGGAGGGAGAGGAGGAGGGGGATGGAGGGAGAGGAGGAGGATGTGGAGAACGGAGGGGAGTAGGATCGAGGAGGATGGACGGGAGATAGGACGCAGGAGGAGGCTGAGTAGGGGGCTCTGGGGGATCTCACCTCATCGTGACCACTCCTGCCGCTGTTGAGACGCTGCAGGCGGCCTCCAGCTTGCGTTTATGCTTCGTTTTTCTCTCGCCCTCAGACCGCGTATTCTGTGCGCGGATCGGTGAGCGACGAAGCCCCGTCGGAGGAGAGACTGGTTGCGGCGACCTGGCCCGCTGGGGGCCCGCACGGTCTGCCGCACTCAGCTCCTCATCCCATCTCCCCCTCCTCCACCTCCTCCCCCTCCCTCCCCCTCCTCCCCCCTCCGCCTCCTCTCCTCCTCCTTCCACCTCCTCCTGCTCCTTCTGCCCCTCTTCCACTTCTCCTCTTCCTCTCCTCCTCCTCCTCCTCCTCCTCCTCCTCCTCCACCTTCTCCTCCTCCTCTCCTCCTCCTCCACCTTCATCCTCCTCCATCCTCCTCCTCCTCCTCCTCCTCCTCCTCCTCCTCCTCCTCCTCCTCCTCCTCCCCCTCCTCCTTGTTGGGAGGATCCCGCTTTGCTCAGAGGTGCGCTGGTCTTCCCCAAGGCGCCCACCCACTACCCTGCGGGGCCTCCTACCACCTTCGATTTCTTTGTCGTCTCTGGAGGTCTCAGCAAGGGCATCGAGAGGATCGACGCGCTTAGATACGGAGCTCTCCCCCCACAGGCCTGTCGACCTTTTTGTGTTTCGGTCGGCTGGCTGTGCTGAAAACCCTGTCGTTCAGGCGCCCCCCGCCCTTGCCTGCTGAGGCGGTGGTCGGTCCCTCTCCGAGACCTCCTGAGTGGTCTGGGGTCCAGTCCCTGGCCGATTCGGCCCTGTGCCTCATGGACTCTGGTCGCCCCTAAGAAGCTGCTCCCCTTCTAGGCTCCCTGCACCAAAGGTGGGCTGATACTGCCGAAAGGGAGCTCATTCCGTTGGTTTGGTCATCGCTTGTCAACCTTGGCACTCGTGGGTTGGGCCCTCAGTTGGTCTGGCGCTCGGTCTTAGCTAAGGATTCCCAGGTCAGATACCCTGCCCACAGATCCATTGTGTGGTTAGGGCAGCAGCTCAGGGCGTACCTCCATTCATTGCGAGCAGGTGCGCCCAGCACCGCATCCAGTTTGAAGGACCGGTTGCTTCAGCCTCCGCTTGCGATCGCCAACGCCAGGCTGACTATACGCCCCTGTTCGAGCTGGTGGCGACGTCGGTCGCGACCTTGGCTGCTCCCGATGCGTCTGTTGATGTGTATGCTCAGGTGCACGAGGACGTCAAGGCCGCCGACAGCAAGTTCCTCGCTCAGGGCCGTGCCGTCTGGAAGGCATGGCTTAACGTTGGAGCGCAGTCTGGTGCCAAACGGGTCCACATGTTGCTTCGAGACCCGACCCCATTGGTGGCCAGCAGCACTCTTTCGTCGGAGGGCAGTGTGGTCACAGATCCGCTCTCCCTTCTGAAAGCGAAGGGCCTCCGTTTTTCTGATCTTTGGGGTCCTGGTTCGGGGGCCTTGCCTCAGTTTGAGCGCCTTGAACCCCTCCCCAGAATCGATGCTGATACCATTCGCGAAATATCTCGGTCATATAAGAGTGTTTCGGCCGTCTCCGTTGACGGGTTCCACTGCAGACACTTTTCTTTGCTGTCTGATGCGAGCCTCACCGTCTTCGTAGCATCCTCTGTCTGATCGAGTCTCTTGGCATCCTCCCTCCCCAGATTTCGGTTGTGCTGCTCGCGCTGCTGCCGAAGCCGACTGGCGGCTACAGGCCCATAGGGGTGTTCGGTTCTTGGTTCAGGGTCTGGAGGCGCTGCGGGCGTCCCTTGGCCCTGGGCTGGGAGATTACGCACCCCCGCGGGTACTGGGCCGCTGGCCAGCATCGGGGAGCGGCCGACGTCGTCTGGCGACAGGTGGTGGCGGCTGAAAGCGGAGCCGCCAGGGGACAGGCTAGGTGTAGCATTTTCTTTGATCCTTCTAAGTTCTACGGAGATATTCATTTGGACAAGTTGGAGGATCGCTGCAGGAGGCATAGGTTCCGATGATCGTCGCCAGACTGTGCCTGTATGCGTACAAAGTTGGCCGGTTCCTCAGTCTCGGCGGTCGGATCGAGAGCCCCTACTTTTGCGTAAACGGGGACATCGCTGGCTGCTCGATGGCCACCGTTGTTATCCGCGTCTACTGCCTTGACGGTTACGACAGCATCCCTCTTGCTCCATACACCTCCCTGGACGTCTTCATCGATGATCAGGGCTTGTCCTCCACGGTCGTCTTGGTGCCGTCGTGGAAGCTGTGGTGGCTGGTGCCGTTGCGTTGGGTGGTGTCGTTCGGGATGTGTTCGGTTGTTCGTTTGCCCTGGACAAAACGGCGATCGTTGCTAGCTCGAAGTTCGTCCGCACCCAGGTCTTCGACGGGCTCAGTCACCTCTGCCGCCACTGCTCTGGGTCCACGGTCAACATCGGCGTTGACTACACGGCTGGCCAAGATGAAGGCTAGGCCAGCCAAGTCAGAGCGGGCTGCTCGGCGCTTAGCGCGGCAGGGTAAGGCGCTCAGTCGGGCCACTTCCCTTAAGGTCTTCTCGGCGGTGCCCTTTGTGGGGGGCTCCTATGGGTCCGAGGTCACGGGCATCAGCGATCGCGACCTTAGCCCGCTGCGCCGCCGTGCGTATGTGTTTGCAGGTCTTTTTTTTTTCTCATTTGCCCTCTCAGCCAGCTGAGGTTCCTCACTTTCTGCGCCATCCTCGACTACGATCCGGCGTGGCGTGCTACCGCGGCCCCGATTCTCAGGTGGAGCGTGGAGATTTGGATTTGGCAGACCTCAGCCTTTCGCTGGTCTCTCGCTTTGCCTGTGCTCAAGCGCGCGTGGCACGTCATCTTGTCTTGCGCGTCCTGCAGCTGGAGGCGAGTTGCGGACCCCATCTCTGCCGCGCGGATGTCCCTGGTGCGCCTCGGGTGGCGCATGGATAATGTCATGGCCCTTGTTGACGATTTCGGGAGACCCATTTCCTCGGGGATCTTCTCGCCCTCGCTCGTCGGGCCCCTGGCCCGGGAAGGGTACTTCCGCACGTTGGAGAGAGACGCGGCGGCTGCTCGCGGCATCCAGCCCCGTCTCTGCCGCGACGTTGCGCGGGAATGCCTCTCCCTTCGCAGCAAGAAGTTCACCCCCCCCTCCAAAAGGCTAGGATTCGGGCCTTCTCCACGGATGCGTTCCTCACGGCTGCCAGGGCCGAGCCTCTCGGATACCTCATTGAGCTTGTCTGCATTCCTTGTGGAGCCCGCGACGCCATCTTCCACCGTTCGCGGGAATGCACCTCCCCCTCCCCCCCGCGGCTGAGGATAGGGGCAGGCTGGTCGAGCCCGGTCTCATCGGAGCTGCGCGCGCAGCTATGGCCTCGGGCGAATATTAGGACAGCTGTGTACTTATCTTCGGCGCCTTTCGGCATCCCGCCGACCTCTACCCTCGGACGTTGACTGGGCAGGATGAAGGTCCGACCTTGACGTGGCACAAGCACCCTAAGGATGGCCCTAACGAGGCCCCTGACGACAACCGTGTTTGGGGCGACCTCTTTGTCGACGGCTGGCGTTTTCGCCATGCGGCGCGTGAACTTCCTCGAGCGGGCAGCGCGGTTTGCATGGCGGGCGAGGCTGGCGACTTGGTTGCCGAGCTTCGTGCACCAGTGCGGGGGCCATGCCCGCAGACGGCTCAGAGCGTCGAGTTCAGCGCCTATACTTGGGCTAGCGTTATTGCCACGCTTCCCGCCGACTGCACCGCCCACCCTGATCGCAGCAATGTTGCGCAGTCTGCCGCCAGAGGCAAGTCGGCTTAGTTGTCGCCCAAGAGGATGTATTCGGGGGCGTTTCTCCAGTGTTATGGTCACTGTGGTGGAGCCGCTTCTTGCTTGAAGGTGGCCGCCCACCTGGACCTCGACGCTCCTGGCATCACGCCCCGCGAGCGCTGAAGCAGGCTCGGCAATCACCATGCCGATGCTGCAGCCAAGCACGCAGTCTCCTTGCACCCGCGCGACGAAGGTTTACTACAGGATGTCGACAGAATGGTGTCCTACGCCAGGGCCGCTTTGAAGCTTGCTGCGCGCGCTTGTCCACTGGCCCCCTTTGGACTTGTCTGGTGTCGGAAGGACCCCCGATCCCCCGTCTCAAAGGGGGCCCGTTTCTGGCCATGTTTGGATATCCTGGAGCGGATTCTGGAGGTGTGTTCACTGTTTGCGCGTTTGCAGGTCTTTCCCGAAGCCACCCCCAGGATCTTGCTCTAGGAGGTCCCTGGTCCATGCGGACCACCAAGATGCCCTTGGACACGGAACCGACGTTTTCCCTTGCTCTGACTTCTCGGTGCCCTTCTATATGTCTCAGGTGCAAATGCCACACCAGTGGGGTCAAATCCGTGGCCTGGCCCAGGAGCGCGTTGCCCATCCCGTGCTGGCATGCATGGCTGGGACTACGTTTGCAAAAGACAGCACCCCCAGCACAAGCAGCGTAAAGCTGGAATCAAGTTGACACGGAAGGTCTGGTCCAATGTTTCAACTCGCCGAGTGCGGGCGCCTTATTGATCGCAGGCCCAGCCGAGCCTGCCTGCACCTCCGTCCCAGCGGCTGTCATTTCTTCCGCTGGTCCGTCTGCCACAGCTGCGGGACCTGGCAGCGCTGTGCCGTTGCTCGCTTCGCAGCCCCATGCCTTGGCCGCTGGTCCATTACCCTCCGAAGGTGACGGGCTCGTGTGTGACGCCTCGGGCCGCGGCCTTTACGATGACTTTGAACCTGACACGGAAGCCGCCTTGTTCCTCGCAGCTGGCCCGTCGGCTGCCGACGATTTTGTCAGCTCTGCTGCGGATGCAGCTGGCTCGCTGGGCTCTGCGCCGCTTGATGTTTCGCTGCCTCGCCCGCCTAGCGCTGGCCCATTACCTGCGGATGACGGACTTGTGGGCGGCGGTCTGGGCATCGGTCTCTCTTTTAGTTTTGAAGCTGCCCCGCCGTCTGCCGACGGCGATGTTGGCCGCGCCGCGGGCACAGAGTGCTCCGCCGGCGCAGCGCCGACCGATGCCCCGCCGCCCGGCGCGCCAAGCATTGGTCCATTACCCACGTCGGGTGACGGACTTGTGGACGGTGCCTTGGGCTGTCTGCAAGGTTTGAAGACGAGGAAGCTGCTCGGCGTCTTGTCCGCCGTGCCGCTGAGGCGTCGCACCGTCCGTTCAGCGCCTCTCCGAGGGAGGTGCTGCGCCAGGTGCGAGATGCTTTCGCGGTCCAGGATGACGATGCTCCTCTGCTGCCAATCGCCCGTCCTGTGCACGAGACTGGCGAGTCCGACTAGGCTCGGCTTTAACTCGCCAGCTCCTCCCTCCGTAGCTGGCGAAGTCCTTGGGCATGACCCGATTTGGATGCGAGAGCGTGGAG